CAACCAGCAATATTTTTATAGCATGAAAGCTAAAAGCTGTTCAAAGGAAAAAGATCAGAAATTTTAGTTGGATCAGATGCACAGGCCAAAATCACTGTACTTCAACCACTAACTAATCAAGTCTTGGTTTTTCACTGAAATTATCAATTCTTAGAAAATGGTTATAAATAATTTGATCTTTACTGATCATCTTGGTCTGCCAGATATTAACAGACCAACCCAGAGAGGATAGGCAGACCAAATTGGCCTGTAAGGCTCTAATTACAGGTTCATCATATTAAGGTTTTCTTCTCCACTTCACTCCTGACTGATCCTCTTAATTTCAAAGAATTTTAAAATAATGGTCATCATAAACAAACTTTGAAGGGAAAATGTCTGCAGTGATGGATGGAATCGATTTATGAATGTACAGTCGTTTATTTGTGAAGATCTCTAAACTGAAGGATTCTTGTCTTCAATTTTTGCAGAAAGAGAAGTTTGAACAAAAAGCTCAAAAATAGAGCAGGAAAGCTGATTCATCACTCAAAAACTGGCCAAATCTATACTCAATTAAACAGAAATTGACAGGAAATAAGATAGCCCACCCAATATTTTTTCTCTTAATCAATTTTAACCATTGATATAATTTTTTTATTGATATATTTTTTTAAATTTATTTTGAACCGATTTTCTCCATTAGGAACTGAAAAAAAAAACTTTGTAAGAATTAATGAATAACACTTGATTTAGGGCGAGACAAAAAGAGAGCAAATTTGTTGTTTATTTACAAACAAAACCAAATCCCTCCGAGTAAACAAGGCTAATTCAGTTCAGTTTCTGCATTCATGTATATTAGTGAGATGGGACAAGCAAAACCATTAACACCAGCTGAAAAAAATATCATTCAGCGAATGAAAAATCGAGGATTTTGTATTTCCAGTATTTCAAAAAATACCGGTAGGAGTAGGAAAGTAATTTTAAATTTTTTGAAGTCTCCAGAAATCTATGGGACGAAGAAATCTCCTGGAAGACCACCGACCTTAACAACACGGCAAAAACGGGCAATTTTAAGGGTTGCATCTAATTCAACTTTAACGGCCCGTCAAATTGCTGCGAGAGCAGGTGTAGTGACGAATGTGAAAAATGTCCAAAGGATCATTCGTGCAGCTCCTCACATCAAAAGAATGAAAATGAAAGGCATTCCACCTGTAAGCACGGCGCATATAGAAAGAAGAAAGGAGTTTGCCCGTGAATATGTGCAATGGAAAGACGAAGGATGTCCTGTTCACAGATGAAAAACAATTCAATCTCGATGGTCCCGATGGCTGGGCTCACTATTACCATGACCTACGAAAAGAAGAGAAAGTGGTTTCCAAGAGGCAAATGGGAGGAGGCAGGTCATGATATGGGGTGGTATTGGCTATGATCAAAAAACCGATATTGTGTTTATTTCTAGTCGAATGAACAGCCAACAATTTGTTAATTTGTTAGAAAACCAATTAAAAAAATATTTTGAATTTGTTCCTAAAGAGAACGTAATTTTTCAGGCAAGATAATGCTCCTGTTCACACGGCAAAAGTTGCAAAAGAATTTTTTAGAAAAGAAAGGATCAGAATGATAGATTGGCTGGCTAGGTCCCCGGATTTTAATGTAATCGAAAATGTATGGGGGCATCTTGCTAGGAGTGTTTACAGGATAGCCGACAATTTCAGGGCGTTGAAGAATTGAAAAAAACAATTCAGGAGGAGTGGGCCAAACTTCCTCAAGAGATGATTCGTCGTCATTTTGACTCGCTTTTAAATCGAATGATTGCTGCATTAGAAAAAGGTTAGTTATTTTAATTGTGTTTTAATAATGAATTTTATTATTATTGTTCACTGTACTATCTTTTTGTCTCACTCCAAATCAAGTATTATTTATTAATTCTTACAAATTATTTTTTTCCAATTCCTAATGGAGAAAATCGGTTCAAAATACACTACATATTAATAAAAAAGTTATATCAATGGTTAAAATTGATTAAGAGAAAAAAATTGGGTGGGCTATCTTTTTGTCCCGGACCTTATGTTTCATCTGCTATGAGTCAGTGTGACATCAAAGATACTGTGTTTTCAAGGCCGCTAAGAAGAAAATTCAAACCAAATTTACTCGGTATAAACTAAACGCTGATAACACGAGTCTTTACGTCAGGGAAAACGCTCAACACCTTTCTGGGACAATCCGAAAATCTGGGCATTGCGGCTGCAGACAGCTTATCAGATGGACATGACAAAATATTTGATTTACAAGGCACATGTAAAATTTTATTTACTTCAGCATGATTTTCCAAATTTCAAGTAATGTAAGTCGTATCTGAATGGCTCATATATTTTTTTTGTAATAAATAAAATTTCAAAAAATAATTAAAATAACTCAGTATGATTAATTGAAAAAAATTTCGTGTTTTACTCCTGAACCTCAACCCTAACTGTTTAAATGGTTAACAATGTTTTAAAATTTGAAAATTCTACATCCAACAGTTTTCCCACCAGATATAATAAATAATATTAAATAATTTGATCCTTGATGGTCATCTTGGTCTGTCACGACACATTTCTGGATTTTGCCATCTTCAGGCCCACCAGACCGAGATGATCCGTAAGTTTCATCACCCCGCACAGGAGGAAAACTCGCAAGGTGTACAATTTTTTTTTAATCATAAGCATGGGTGAAACAAGCAAAAAGCAGGCTTTTTCTGTATAATAACCCCCATGTTTTGTCTTTTTCAAAGGTAGTTCTACCAAAAATTCAAGTCATTCAAAAATTCCCGAGGAAAGGACGCGGAATAATCAATTCTCTGAGAGAAAAACTTGTCCATTTTAACAAGATAAATATCTGAAACAGTTTAACAGGCATTTCTATAAATATTATATATAAATTTTTCTCTTTTTTTAGTTTAAATATTTATAAAGGATGGCATAACATGCAATTGAATCATTTTTGTTAAGATCTTAATATTTTATTACAATAAAGCCACTCTTTTTATATAATCTATTCGGTTTTTTGCCCAATACAAAATACTCTTTAATCAGCACAACATCAAATTTTATAATTGAATAGTTTTTTTATATCATCTTTCATTGTTCACTACAACTCTTTTGAGAGTATTTTTTTAATCATAGTATTTTTCATTTTATGTTTAATTAAGACTTCACTTGAAATGTAGATATTTCTCTTTATTGCTTTATGATAATTAGTAGATATAATTTGCTTATCGAAAAATAAAGACTACTATCTTTACTAACTTATATAGATAAGTATTTTTATATTTAATTACATTATAAGTATAACTTAATATTACGATTTTTTTTTCAATGTTAGGCAAATGAAAAAATTAGTGTTTCCTTAATTTTGAAAAAAAATAATCTAGATTTTAAATAAAATTTAGTCCTGACTGAAACCTTTATTTCATTTTTAAAAAAATTGCCTTCGTCTTGAATTTTATTGATTAGTTAATTTTATGAAAGACTTCAATCAGCAGGCAACAGATTTTTTTTTATTAATCTATGACTAAAAAGTAAATAAAGGTCAAAGTATTCAGGGTTAAAGGAAAAAAAATTCTATGCAAAAAAAAATGATATGATTAATGTTTCGAGCGATTATTGAAATTAAAAACTAAATTGGTAAAGCACAAGTTGGCACTTGGCAGCTAGAGGACAATCTAATCTTCTAGGAAACTCTTTAAGAATTTTTGTATTGTCTAGTGTTATTTTTTGTTCTTTTTTTAACCGACCGCCAAAGAACGGCTTTCTCACGTTTAAGCACCCAGACTTCTTTAAACTCCCATAAACATTATAGTTAAATCCCTTATAAGATAAAAAATGTGACAATATTTTATTTTTTAAATTACATTTAAAGATAGAAGAATATTTAGGTATCGCAGGGTAGAGAAAGCGAAAGAGGACGCTTTGGCAATATCGCACTCACACGTTAACAAAAAGCACACAACAATTTATTTTTGCCAATTTTTTTTCTCGCAAAAATGACACTAAAACCTGTATATATGACCAAATCAAAAACTTAACCTATAAATTTTCATTTTTAATATGGTTTAATTTATCGTTTTATTTCTTCTTAAAGAACTACCTAATAAATATTATTTACATGAAACAAAAAAATGTCACTTTTCAAAAGGAGTAGCAATATATACACTTTTGGCCTTTTTTCAATTTTTTAAACTAAAACGTGAAAAACAAAAATAGGCCGATACTTAAAAAAAAAAATGTAGAAAAAAGATTAAAAATTAAGAAAAAACGAAAATTTTATCACTTTTATAAAGGTAATTTTTTTTCATTTTTATTTTAAAACTAGCTTGACTATATTATCCTAAACTTATAGTATTTTGCAATACTTATTTTTTTCTTAAATATTAATATTATTATTTAAAACGAACCACTCTTGAAAATTAATAAAGAATAATTCAATTTATAAGTGTCGGGTAACCATTTTTTAAATAGTCAAATACCTCCCATATCAGTTTCAAAGGACAAAACTAATTCTAAAAACTTACCGGGCTCGATGAGAACAAAAGTCAAATTTATGCGGCTTTCACGGCACCCGAGCCGACGCCGCCAGGACAAAAGAAAACAACGATCAACCTGTGCTCTAAAACAGTGGTACGTGTGTTAAGTGTAAATAGATTTGTAATTTGAAACATGAGTAACGGAATGCATTAAACACACATGCAATACATACATTCATTTAAACACTAAATATCATAATATATACATAAGAGAAGAAAGAAAAAAAACTAACACACCTATTAATAATTTTTTTTCTTTAAATTTGCACTTTCTTATTTTAATAATAATTTCATTTTATAATAATAATGATAATAAATAAGCATTTTATAGATTGGGATAAAATGTAAACATTGACATTAATACTGAAGACATTAGACACATATAATAACATTTAGCAATAATTCCACTTAAAAATCATCAAACGTGTTTTCAATTTTCTTTTAAAGATACTCAAACACATTTAAATATCAATTAAATATATTTGTGATGAATTAGCAGTTATTCAATAACAGAAAATGAAAGAAAAAACAATGGCAGTTTCTGAGAATTTCCCCCTTTAATCTCCTTTTAAAAGTATCGGTCAGATAAATGAAGTGAATCCTGAGGCAAAACAATACTTAAGAAATAAGGAAGATGCTTAGAGGCGGGTGACAGCTTAGGGCAGCGGGACGACGACCTGGACGTAAGTAACCGGGAAGTAGCCACTGCGACCATTCAGCGTACCCTCATACCAGTTGTCGTCGATCTTATTTGTTAAATTTATCGTGTCACCCTCCTGAAAAAAAAAAAAAAATACAAGAATCTGATCCAAAGCTTGACGAGAACTTCGTGAGGTGATTTTGAAGGTAGACAGGGTTTTTTGGCAGAAATGCTTGGTGTGGAATTTTAAAGAGAGATCAGATTGGGTCATTGTAGATAATTATGTTAGTAATTTTGACAATTTGACACTTTTGAATGGAAGAATTATATGCTTTGGAACCGCACAGGTCTACTTAGAATGTCCAAAGAGGTTTCATGGTCAAAACAGATTTTAGTATTAAAAGTCTTACTAGTCATCGAAGTTAAGTACTAAGTCTAGTTTAGGGGATTCCAGTTCACTCTGCTGCTTAGGCATAGACCTTTAGTGTCTGGGAGTTTCGTGGTCCTGAAAAGGGCCGGTGTTGTGTAGAGATGCCGTGACGATAGTATAAGACCGAGACTGTGCGAGTGGTTGTGTGACAGAGTAAACCGTTGGATGAGGTCCGGTGGGCCGAGTCGGTTGACTCCACAGAGGCCGAAGGTACTGGAGTGCAGCAATTAGCTGAGGGTCAGCAGTTGGCGATAATGGCCAAGTTGGCTGTTTAGAAGGCGAGTCAGACTAATGCTGCGAGTACTCTTGCTGTCGTCAACGGTGTTCCATTAGTAAATAGCTTGTCAGGCTGACAAGTCTGGTGTCGAGAGATTATTAGTGATGTTTGAGACCTCTTCGGCTGACGAGTCTGATGCCAGCTGGGCAGTGCCCCTGCTTATATAGGGAAGAGAGACTCTGATTGGCTGCAGAGTGGAGGGCGAGAACATTCCATAAGTCGTAGTGGCATCTAGTGGTATCGTGGAAACTAACTATTGGCCACTACAGACCTAAGTATCTAATGTGACAATAAGGTTAGGGTGGATCAATACTTTGGAGGTGGATTTGTAAACAGGAACGGTCAGGTAGTTTTGGATAGTGACTGGCCTAATATGTAGTTTTAGCAATTTGACTACTTTGCTAGATGTATATAGGATGGGTTGACTTCACCCCAAAGTCCACTCTGTCACTTTAAAAGGATTGCAATAAAATCTTGTATAGGTTTAGCTGAGTTTTGGTGGTTAAAACAGATTTCGGTCCTAAAATTCTTCATAGTTGTTCAATTTTCAAGTTGTCCCTTAAGTCTTGTGTGGGGATTCCACATTCTGCTGTCTATGTTTAGTCCTAAGGTCCTATCTTGGGCGGTTAGGGTGGATCAAAAAATTGGAGATAGATTTGGAAGCAGCAATGCATCAGGTCGTTGTGGATAGTGAGTTTAGTGATGTAGTAAGTAGCTTTGATTGACTATGTTTGATTTAAGGATTGGATGTATTGGATATCGGATGGCTTGTTGGAACTGCTCAATTCCACTTCCTAACTTCCATGGCAGTAATGTCTTGTATTTATTTAGCTGAGTTTTGATGGTCAACACAGATTCTGGCCTTAAAAGTCTTCATAGTTAACCAAATCTTAAGTTATTTTCTCTAAAGTCCTGTTTGGGTATTCCACTTCACTCTGCGGTCTAGGTAAAGTCCTACGTATCTGACTTGGCTAATAAGGGTGGATCAAGAAATTTGAGATAGATTTGGAAGCAGCGATGCATCAGGTCATTATGGATAGTGAGTTTAGCGATGTAGTAGGTAGCTTTGATTGAAGGATTGCATGTATTGGATATTGGACGGCTTGACAGAACTGCTCAATTCCACTTCCTAAGTCCCTTGGCAGTAATGTCATCTATATAGTTAGCTTTGATGGTCAACACAGATTCTGGCCTTAAAAGTCTTCATAGTTAACCAAATCTTAAGTTATTTTCTCTAAAGTCCTGTTTGGGTATTCCACTTTACTCTGCTGTCTGGGTAAAGACCTAGGTATCTGACTTGGCTAGTAAGGGTAGAGTGGATCAGGAGTTTAGATATGGATTTGCAAGTGGGAACGGATGATGTCGTCGATAGTGAGGTTACGCAGTAGTACCGACATGAGTACATAATTTTGAGAATTTGACTTTTGATTGGAAAGATTGAACATGCTATACATTGGATTGTTTGGTGGAACCACTCAGCTCCATTTTATCCACTTGTAAAGTTCAAAGTGGCTGTAAAAATGTCTTGTTTAGAGTTAGCTTAGTTTTGCTGGTCAAAATAGATTTGATCCTAAAACAGGTTAAGTTGTTGATACTTAATTCCAAATTCTACATCAGTCTACTATGAAGATATAGTCCATCTGATTCAAGTGGAAGCCAGCTCTCCTCTTGGTGATTGTGGAGGGCAACATTTTTTTCCCTTTTTTTCTCAATATAATACACACAATGTGTGCATTTTTCCTCGTTCAGTTTTGCCCCATGCTTTTTGTATCAGTCGTTGATAAACTCAAGGCGTTCTGGGATTGCTGTAGGTTGCTTGGATTGAATTCAGGTTAGAAGATAAAATTGTGGTATCAGGTTTGGGGTAATGTTGGTAAAGTATATGGGATTTAAAATGCTCCCTTGTGGGATGCCAGCTCGTATTGGTCTGATATATTCATTGCTGCACCTCACACTGAACCAGCAGTTAAATAGGAATATGCAGGGTGAGTAGGAATCGTTTAAGTCTATAAAGGATGCCTGGGTGCGAGACAAAATTTGGACCACATCCTGGAATGCACCTAAGAGTGAAATAGTGTCAACAACTCTCAAATCTTTCTGGATGATCATGGATTATGGGTACAGAAGCTAAATTGGTGGAATAATTCTATATGAATCAAGGATGGGTATTAAAGAATTAAAAATATTTCAACAATTTTGGACATCATAGGAAAAAGATTGATGCTTTTACGAGTACATGTATTGTCGGGTTGTGAGCTTTTAGTAGATTTTATAGTTAGGGATTTGTGCATGTTGTATTTCAGGGGGAAGAAAGATTATAAACTCAAAAGATCTATGTTTTGGTTTTTCTTACCTTGAAACCAAGCTCGCCGGGGTTTTCAGCTTCGAAATCATAAAGCGCCGTGCAGCAAGGCACCCTAGACATTGGCGTACGAGCGGGTGAGCTCTTAACAGGCGATGGCAAAGGAGATGCTGTAAAAATTAATCCAATCAGTAACAAACTTTCACTAAATTTAAAATATTAAAAAGAAAAGTGCAAAATTCCATTGAAAATAAAGAATTTAAGCATGCTTTAAGGTCGAAAGAACAGATAAAACATATATATTAGAAATTATGAATTATTATACAACAGGCAAAATTAATATTTAGCAAATTAAACATGAAATATGTTTAAATATTCTAGGGCAAAACGCATAAGGTTATTGAGTTTCAATTAGAAATAATGTCAATCCTACAATTAGAAGCTCTATAAATTCAAGTATAATACTTTAATATTGGATATTTCATTAATTATTGATATTCTGTAAATTATAATGATAGGTGTGGTTTTATTGATAATGGCCATTTATTAGATATGCGGTGAGACAGTTAGGCCTTTTTTTTATGACAATGGGTCCATAATGGTAAGCAAGGTTCTTGGTACCCTTGGATTACTGAACATGTGATTCATCAGCTCTAGAAAGTTCAAGGAGTACAGATTTCGAAATGAACTGCTTTTTAAATGTTTTATGGCCTTTACTACGATGAGAACACACTGAGTTTCACAGCTCATTTTGTCCGAGAATACAATCTTTAGACCAATGATGTAGTTGCAGTTTTTACAGATTAGTCATAATTTGCTCAACGATCTCCAGTTGGGTGCAGAAAGTTGAGGATGAGATAAAATGAGAGATATAGCTTTGTCGAGCTGTATTATAGACTAGTGCCGATGTCTCTGGTTCTTCTCTCATTGGCATGTTTCTGCCTTTGCTTTACCCATCTTCCTTAAGTGGTAGTTAAGAGGACAGTGCCATTACAGAAGCTTATAATCGTCAAATAAAGCCTGCTGAAAAAGAGAAGTTCCTTCATTCCTTTTTGAGAGATTTACGAACCTCTAACATCATACATGGCAAAATGATATAATAGACCTCTTAAATATATGCCTACTATCTAATTATTGTAAATTCAATAATAAATTTTATGAAATGAAAGAGTTACCAATAGGGTCTCCATTATCCCCACTTTGTGCTGAAATATTCATGGATAATTTCGAAAAAAATCTTTTCAAATCAAAGAACAAATTAATTAAATCTGTTCATTTCTGGAAACGCTATGTAGACGATATTTTATGCATATGGTCGGGAACATTAGAGGCTCTCAAAGAATTCCTCCAACTAATAAATTTTCTACACCGTAATATAAATTTTACATTGGAAATTGGCAAAGATGGTTATTTGAACTTTTTAGACCTAAAACTGTCCATAATAAACAACCTAATAAAAATAGTCGTATATAGAAAACCCACAACTACAGACACTATGATACCAGTGGATTCTTCCCACCCATGGTCCCAAAAGGCTGATGGCCTCATTTGGCTCATAGTCCGGATGTTAAAACTTCGGAGAGAAAGAGAGAGAGAGAGAGAGAGAGAGAGAGAGAGTCCCTTTCTTTTTTTAATGATTAATGAGCCTCTACACTTGCTTCATATCTCATACTCTCTTCGTGTACTTGAGGTTTTATTCTGAGAAATATTTCTAACTCCATCATTACACATTGGTGTAAACTAACATTGCCAAACATTGTAGAAAAATAGAGAGAGAAAATAATCAAACCGTAAGAAAATATTTCTCATAGACTTCACAAGAAGAAAGCTAAATTTAACAACACCTACTACAAATTAAGATCCTCTAAAGAAACTATGTACCTAAGTACCCTTAGCCAAAGACTCTTGTGGAAAAGTCATTCAGGCCAAGGCACTAATAAACATTGGTCAGATTATGCAACAAAACTAGAGAAACAGGGATCTAAGGTCACATAAGTAGCCCTGGTATGGTGGCCCAAAACATCAAATTCTACTTCTTCTTCTTCAAATCTTGCCCGCTGACAGAGAGTTCTTCAAGCTTCCTTTTTTAGTGATTTATTACACTAGCTGTTTCATATTTGGTGTTTTCATCCAGTGCTTTGATTAAGCCATAACATTAAAAAGTTAAGTACCCCTGACCAAAAACTCATGTGTGAATGCTGTAGGGTTCCTCAGCCGTTCTTTTTCAGTGATGGTTTTCATTCTCTGGCCATTTTCCATCTCCATCTTTCACACACTCGCTGGTTGTAGTTACCATCCCATGGTTGAGAGGGATGCTGCATTTTTGGCTTGTCAGCCTGTTCGTTTTCTTCTACATGTCCCGAAACCATTCTCCTTGTAACCTTGTGTTCTCTGAGGTCCAATAGGCAATTTTGGCACTCCCAGCTTTGAATTTTTATATCTGCCTTGATTGAAAGTCTATAGATCTGTGCTCCCTTTATTTTCTTCTTTAACAACCCTGCACGCAGAGTTCGGTATATTGTTCAAGGGCAACCATTTCTTCTTCTTTGATGATTGGGGCACAGATTTCTGAGAAAAACTAAGAAACTGACGAATAAACACAGCTTAACTAGTCATTTATCAGAGTATGTTAACAATAATTATATAAACATGGCCTCGGAACACAAGAGGTATAAAATCAAATTATTATCAGACGCTGCAGACTTATTTTACAACACATGCTTTGTTTTGCCCTATAGAATAATTTAAATTCAATTTGAATTTTTTTTAAATTGCATTAACATAACTTAAATAAAACATAAAGGGTTAAATAGTTAACTAAGAATATAAGTTAGTATACACATAAAGAGAAATGCGCATGCTTCTGACAAAAGATCAAAGCCATCGGGATTGAAGAAATGTTTCAAAACGAGAAGAAGCAAGGCGAAGAAAAGAAATAACCAAAAGAATCGGAAATTCAAACATGAGATGAATTTTAATTCAATTACCATTTTCAGAGTTTTAATGCAAAAAGAAAACGTAGGAAAGCCAAGTTTTCCAAATATTCCCAACCAAATTATTCAAAGGTGGTACAAAAAATAAAATTTTTGGAAAAAAAGTGAGAAAATTTGAAGCTGTATTTTCAATTTTTTTTGTACAAATAAAAAAATTCCCATGCAGAAAATAAATAGCGAAAAACCTGATCTTTTCATCTCATAGATTAAAAAATCTGAAATGATTTCTTTTTGCTTTGATAAATATAATTTTTTGTATATATATGTATATAAAAGGTTTGTTTTCAATGTTTTACAGACCGTTGGTTGATCTCGCCTGTTGTACGCCTCCGATTTCCAGGTGGCTTGGCTTTCCGTGAACAGGTGAAGATGCCTGAGAAGAACCTAACCCGCAAAACAATAAACATCCTCAACATGTTTTCTTTATTTGTTTCTTAGGGAGTTTGGTTTATTTAATGAGGTAACATGTGGAGGAAGCACTTTTTATATACTGCAATATTAATTTAAGTGGCTTTTCAAGCATCTTTTTTAATACTGTAAATAATATGACAAATATTTAAATAAAAGAACATTCAAAATGAGTAAAAATTATTAATAAAAAAAAGGTTTTTTTAATGAAAAAAACAATATATGAGGACAGATTAAAAGGGGTTAGAAAAGCAAAGTTAGAAAGATTTCAAAGGTTCGATAATTTTCTTGTTCAATAATGCAGAAGTAGCTCTGCCAACATTGGATCAGTACAAGCAAAGAAGACTTATCTAAAAAAAAAAAAAAATTGTCCGTGACAGAAATTATGAGCGACATTAATGCACTGTTTCAACAGGTCAGTTCAGAAAGTGGGAAAAAAAGATCTGGGGACAGTTGGGAGTTTTTAGTTTCATTTTTATCATGCATCTCAGGAGAAAAAATACACCTTAAAAATAATTAAATACCTATGGATTAGTTAACAGTTATAGCGTCAAAAGAGAAACCCAAGACCAGTACGAGTAGGGAGGTACTCTTACCATTTGCCTTTATTCACAGTTCATTCAGAAACAAAAGAAATTTACAGTTAGTGATGGCAAGATTTGTTAGCAGGCACCTTTGATGAATATGTTCAAGAGGCCAAGAAAATAAAAATTTAAAAAAATTTAAAAATGTTTACAAGATGGGTCTGTTAGTCGGTGAACAAGCTCTCGTTGTGGATGTTCTTCACTAAAGATAGAAAAAATCAAAAATAGCTTGAGAAACATCAAAATTCATGAGAGAGGGTGTCAGTGGCTGCAACATTGAAGGCACTGACATGGTGACATCACCGTAAGGATCCTGGGTTCGAATCGAAAATACAAATGGGCTTTTCTGATTTCCCTCAAGCACGATAAGAACTGATTACCTCACTGAAGATGGCACAAAGCCGAACTAAGCTTGACTAACATTAAAACCGATGAGAGGGATGTTGGTGGCAGCAACAGTTAAGGTGGTGGCATAGCGACTCATCGGTGTAAGGATCTAGGGTTCGAATCTCAGTAACAATGAATTCGAACCAAACGTACAAATCGGTTTTTCTGATTTCCCTCAAGCACGGTAAGAACTGATTACCTCACTGAAGATGGCACAAAGCCGAAATGAGCTTGTTGGCATGGCAACTCATTGGTGTAAGGGTCCTGGGTTCAAATCTTAGTAATGCCAAATTCGAACCAAATATACAAATGGGTTTTTCTGATTTCCCTCAAGCACGATAAGAATTGATTACTTCACTGAAGATGGCACTAAGCCAAAGTAAGCTTGTGTAACATTCAAATCCAGGAGAGGGATGTTGGTGGCAGCAACAGTTAAGGCAGTGGCATCTTCTGATCTGATGGCAGATCTTCAGTGTAAGGATCTAGGGTTCGAATCTCAGGAACAGTGAATTCAAACAAACTATACAAATGGTTTGTTTTTCTATTTTACTCAAGCACAATAAAAACTGAGCAATTGCTGAAGATGGCACAAAGCTGAAATTGACTAACATCAAAACTCATGAGAGGGGTGTTGGTGGCAGCAACAGTTAAGGCGTTGGTATGGTGACTCATCAGCGTAAGGCTACCGAGTTTGAATCTCAGTAATGCTGAATTTGAACCTGTGTTAACTTACCACCTTCTCAACGAAAGCGGTTCCTAACGAAATTACCAACAATTAGAACTGCCAGAAGGTTCGCCAATGGATTGCGCCACACATTACCAGTTCATGAAGTTTTTCGGAGGATCTACAGAAGAGGTCAACACAGAGAAAAAACTTCCTTTCAGTTTTCGCCAAGCTTTCGACAGTTTTTATATAGCTCGGCGAAAACTGAAAGGAAGTTTTTCTCTGTGTTGACCTCTTCCGTAGATCCTCCGAAAAACTTCATGTTTCCAGCAGGTCGATAACCCAGCTCATCATTACCAGTTCAATCAAGAATTGTTTTTTTTTTTTTTCTGTTGTAATTATAAATTATAATAAAAATATAATAGTAGTTGGTAACAATATAAATTAATTGTAATTGTCAGTAGATTGTAAATAGAGACATAAACGAACTGTACAAAACTTTTGAATAAAGAAAAACTAGAATCCAAGGTAGCCACTTCCCGCTCCTCCAAAATCATACCTCCCAAATACCTCTGGCTACCAAGGATCAAGAAACACAGTTTTTGTAAAAACTAAAAAAACTATTCACTAATTTCTATCCAACAAAAGAAGAGACTTGTCCATAGGACTGGCATAAGAATTCGGCTCAACCTCATCAGCATGAGATACATCTCGCCCGTATTTCCACCGGCTCTTCTCAGAGCCACGCTTGAGTTTACTCAGGGAACTAGAGTTTTCACTACGGGTTGTACGAGCTTACAATCTCTGGGTACAGCTGGACAGGTGGAAACTCTGCCTCTCACTTAACGGTCCTTTTTAGGGCCAAAAGCCTCCTCGCCGGCTTTACAGAGCCTACCACTTATGAGTGCCCTTCTTGCCTGCCTGAAAGGGGTCTTGTGCCGTAGAGCTCACAGTCGTGGGGTTACCGGTAGGGCAGAACAGTTGGAACCTTTCTCGGTACAATACCGGCCCTTGTGAGGGCCCGCAAGGTTCAATGGCGACTCGGAAGGACCAAACATACAATTTTTTTTGTAATCACCTAAACACAAAAACAGAGTACTTCACTGAAGATGGCGCAAAGCTGAAGCAAGGCTGACTAACATCAAAAGTCACAAGTATAGACAGACTAAATCTCTTAGTACAACCCAGGAAAGATTCAAAGATAAAAAACAATACTCCATGTGATATTTTGGTAAAACCATCCTGATGCAATTGTCAAATATCAAAAATGGGTAAGTTTTTTAAAAATATGTCAAAAAATGTATGGGTTATTTATGTAATTTATTATTGATTTTTAAAAGTATATTATGTTTATGGTTGTTCTTGGCCGCTTGAGCTTATTACACAATGAATACTTTACACGATGAATAATGATGAAGACGGGTTTCAAATTCGTGTAACCACATTATTAACACATAAACAAAGAAAGACGGTTTAACAAGTAAATCTCCTGAAAGCGCCTTAACCATCATCATGCGGCAAGAAAAGAAAATGAAACCAGTCCACCTTTGTTAAACGAGTAAGAGTGTAATGTTATAGAAGAAAGTTGGTCCTGAAGATCATCAAAGGGGTCATTACGAGGCAAACCTCGATTTTGTATCCTCATCGCCCACGGTTCCTGGTCTTGGGGCGCTGACACATGAAATGTGCTCGTACCGTTAAATCCATCGCCCATCACTTCGACCTGGAGATCTGACAGCGTCTTGGGTACGAATTCCACCTTTGGCCTTCGAATTGCCTCTTCCCTCCTGGAAAATTAAAAAAAAAAAAAATTCAAACCATCGGTCACATTCATACAACATCATTCTTACTTTTCATTTAAGTTTTCAACAGCAACTTGTAAGATTTCAGTGCACTGCCTGTGGTAGTCGAGGAGCCCTTCTGCAAATGTCGCCAGCTGGGAGATTTGTTCAACCTGGAAGGATTTTTTTTTTAATAAATTATTTTACGCGTTTCTTTTAAAATTAAATTTGACCTTCAAACTTACATCGTTCTCGAGGAGATTGAACATGCCCATCTGAGCGAGGTGAAGAGACTCTGCGAATTTCTCTTCTGCCATTTTTATCTCATCATCTGTAATGTTAGATCCTGTTGTGTTCCCATTGTTTTTTTTTACATTACAATTTATTTCATGGGTAGGTGTGAAAATGGAAAAAAAATCCAACCAAAAAAAAAACAAAAAACATTTAAATAATAAACAAAAATAAATAAATAAATACAAATAAAAAATAAAAAAAAGGAAAAGATATATAGGAAAATAACAAACCTTTAGCTTGTTTTCTTCGTTTGCAGTCAAAATCAAGTCTACGCCCTTGTAATTTTTTCCTGTGATGCTGATTAATAAAAAAAAAATTAATTAAAACAGTTTCAATCCGCCTTAAAAAATTTAGTTCTAAAATTTACCATAACTTCCTTGAGGTCTTTAGTCTGTAGATGGTGCAAAGGCTCGAGAAAGTTCTGTTTCGTATTGTCGTCGAGCGAGTATTTAACATCAGCCATTTGTTTCAGTCCTTCTCCCAACTCAAGGAGTGCTTGCCCTATTTATTAGTAAATAAGTTAAAAATAAAGACCAACAAAAATTAAATTTAAATATAAATATTTGGATGGGGTGGTCATTTTTTCTTTTCCCCCTCTGTTTTCTTGGTTTTGAAAAAAATTATTGCATTGAGAAATGTCTTTTTGGATCAATATATTGCAGTATTTACATTAAAAAGTACTGGAAGGCACTTTAGAAATTCTACTCCCAAATGATCATCACTGAGTTAAAAAAAAAAAATAATAATAATAATAACTTTAATGTGGTCATTACCAATCATTTTTGTCTGCCTATCTCAGATGTTTTGGACTGTGGTCTAATCGTGAAGAAAGACAGATCAGGCTGATGGGAAATGACCAAAATACAGGCAATGATTACACTGCAGACCCGAAGAGATGTCAAAAAACGATTTTTATAGCAAAATATTAGTTTCATCGGTTTTCATCACTTGGGCTTGCTTTTTCCTGAATGTTTTCATCCACGATCTAACTGCATGTAGACCAGGATGTTTGGAAACAACCAAACTACAGGCTTAATACCCTGAAGACCTATGCGGAGATCTCAAAAACATTTTTACAACAAAATATTCAAGATTGATCATTTTGGCTTGCCTATCCAGGCTGTTTTGAACCTAACAGCATGGATGAGTGGACCAGGATGATTGGAAGTGACCGAAATACAAGCTCATCACCCTGCAAACTCAAGGTGGATATCTCAAAAAGATTTTTATAGTCCAAATATTTGAGTTTGTTTCCAGTTATTTTAGTCTACCTATCCTGAACAATTTGGTCTGTGAGATGGCAGTGAGAAGGTGAACCAGCCAAAATATTCAAGTTTGGTTGTTTCTAATTATTTTAGTCTGCCTATGCTGAATGATTTGTTCTATGGTCTAACGGTGAGGTAGACGAACCAAGATGCCAGTTGGTCAAAAATGACCAAAACACCGGTCTATCATCTCATAGACCCAAAAAGGATTTTAAAGGCCAAATATTCAAATTTGAGTGTTTCTAATTATTTTAGACTGTCTGGGATGATTTGCTCTGTGGTCTAACAGTGTGATAGACGGACCGAGATTACAGATGGTCAAAAATGACCAAAACACCAGCCTATCATCTCATAGACCCAAAAAGAATTTTATAGGCAAAATATTCAGGTTTGGTTGTTCCTAATTATTTTAGTCTGCCTATGCTGAATGATTTGCTCTGTGGTCTAACAACGTGATAGACGGACCGAGATGACAGATGGTCAAAAATGACCAAAACACCGGCCTATCATCTCATAGACCCAAAAAGGATTTTATAGGCAAAATATTCAGGTTTGGTTGTTCCTAATTATTTTAGACTGTCTGGGATGATTTGCTCCGTGGTCTAACAGTGTGATAGACGGACCGAGATTACAGATGGTCAAAAATGACCAAAACACCGGCCTATCATCTCATAGACCCCAAAAGAATTTCACAGCCAAAATATTCAGTTCGGTTGTTTCCAATTATTTTAGTCAACCTAAAGGTTTTGCTACATCCAATAGTGGTAGGTGGGTGTTAAGCCCTCATTTATGACTGCAATTACATTACATTTTTATTAGTTATTTTAGTACGAAGAAAAGAAACATTCCAACATTAATGTGTTAAAAAATTAAAAAATAAATCGCCCTTTCTAAAAACTATTTTTCGTTCTTCAGTAAGTAAAATTTTTATTATGGCTGCACTCGAAGTTTCATTTTCACAAGCAAGTTTCTTTTTGTGTGTGTGTTCTCGTTGCTGTAGTTTGAAATTGTCATTTTTTAATTAACGACCCCCAGACATGCAAACTTGTCGTTAAATACGAGGAGTAAATTGGCATGACAGGATCTCAACATCTTGCTCGCTAATCCGATCGATTTTTCCCAGTCAATATTTAAAAATAGGAAAGTTTTTATCATAGAAAAGCAGATATTCTATTTAATTTATTATTATTAATTTATATTTGGCAAATCATAACTGGTTTATTTTTAATGTTAAACATTTTTCTGGTTTTTCTCCTCCATCATGCAATTCTTCCAGATGTAGAACTTAAAAATTAATAATAGATTGTTTCTTTGACTTACCGAAATGTGAATCATCCCCTAGTTTTCTTCCGTACATGGACATGCACTCGCCGAGTGTGCCTTCTGGTTGCGGGTATGTGCTCGCTTTTGCCTGCCCGCTTAGCTTGGAGATACCTTTGACCGCAGCCATTTTGGCTCTGGCTGTCGGGTTGGGCTGTAGGTATTCCTTAGTTTTGAGCTGGAGCTCTTCAACAAGTTCATATGTAACATCCGTTTTCTGAAACAGTAATAATTCACGATCAATTTTAAATTATTAGATATTTTTTGCAGGATAATGTAACATCTTAATAAGATGTTATCAGAAGTGGGTATAATATATAAGTGTATGTAATATATAATGTAGTTATTTTTCTTTTATGGCTGACGGATATAGTCAGACCTCTATGCCTATTCAATAATTCTGTACTTCAATTCCAACTTGCATCTCTAATTACACATCCTGCAGCCATTTCTGCAGTTTTTTGTGAATTGAAGTTTTTTAAAGTAATAATTTTGCTCAAATATACTTTATATAAATTAAACAAACTTTTATTATTAGTATTTTTATGCTCCGATACACATTTGGCTTATTTTATTTACTTTGTTGTGTATTACAATTAATTAAGGTTTTTAGTTGAGATAAAAAAAAGTCAATGGTACGAGCGGGATTCGAACCCACGACCTTCAGCTAGATATGCCGCTGCTCAATCACTTGAGCTATCATGACCTCGATCCACTCGGACATCAACTTCCTATCTCAACCCCACCTTATGAGTTTTCCCAATTGGTCAAGCGGACCACGAAATTAGTGAATTTGTTGTGTATCATGATTTCAGATATGCAAGATTTTTTCTTTGATTCAATGGGATTTTTTCTAATTAGTTTTTATATTAAACCCTAAAGCCTTGAAAGTATATTAATTCGCTTGAATTTTTTGATTTGCATGGTTTATACTGTCTGCTAATACTACATATCAAAATAACTTAAAGGGTAGCGACTATTTTTTTTACCTCCAAAAAATTTATTGTTAAATTAAATGCAACCTTTTTGCACAGAATGAAAATGATCCCATGAAGTTCCGAGCTTTAGAAGCGGTTTAAATATTTTTTTGAAAGTTGCGAGTGTATCCCTTAATATACTGCAACTCTCCATTCCTTATGCTCATCTTTCACGTATATTCTGTGATAAAAATGATTTTCCCATTTTTTTTATTATTCTATAACCATTTTTGCACAGAACCTGGTCCCATGAAATTCCGAATTTTATAAGTAGTTCATATATTTTTTAGCAAATCAAGTTCTCTGGTCTATCTTGTCTTTATGGACCTCTCCACCTCTTAAGATGTTTCAACCCCACATCTGTATGTATATTCTACTTCCTACCAGATTAAAGTAATCTTTTAACTGCCTACTGCAAAAAGAATCGGTGTGAAATGTTTTTATGACATCAAATGGACAGTAACGAGAAAAATAGTATTTTATCACTTTTCAATACACTTTTCTGTAAAACCCATTTTCATGTTGAAACTATTTTTTTCCTTTTGTACGATTATCATATTCAGACCATAGTTTCAAGAGTAAAAAAAAATACCCAGGAAGGGAGAAATAAATTATTTTCTATAAGGAAAAATGTGCAAAATATTTTTACACCTTAGGTCTGTTGCTAAAAAATTGTTATTTTTTTAAAAATATTAACTGAAAAAAAATGTAACAAAAGATTGGTTGGTCAAAAAAAAAAGGCCTTGAAAAAAGTGCTGAAATGCAGTAAAATTGTGGCGTCTGATTCTTAAGAAGAAATTACACACTTTTAAAGAAAAGAAATACCCGTCAAAATTAAAATCCATCCAGTAAAGTAGGATAAAAACCAAAAATAACAAAAAGAAACCAGCCATTCGTTCAAAAAATGTTCTCCCCACCTTCTTAAAGAGGTAAAGCCTACAAATGAAATTTTATCTACCTAAAGTTAGATCAATATATTAAACTTCAGATATTTCTAAACAAATTTAAAATTCGATCAAGGGAAATATTGCAAATAAGTTTCCGAAAGTCTTCATCAGAAATCCTTTTTACACAATTTTTTTCTTCGACATCATCAAACGTCAAACCACAAGTAGACAAATTTTCATTCTGGCCAAGGCATTGTGCGGATAAAAGCACGAAAAAGGAGTCTAATTTTCCCACTATATAAAGTAGAGACAAATTTAAGCATCGGTTTAAAATTTCAAACTTTTTTGCAACCACCCTTCTTTTAATTTATTAAAATAGGGTTCGATTATACTCAACCGTGAACCGTCTCATATTTTAATCTGTGTCTTTTGTGGGTTTTCTTCTATTTTATTCTGTCCAATCCAGTTACTACTCTTTCCTGATTTTAATTCCAGGTTATTTACATAAAAATGGGGATAATTTTGAATAAAAAACGGTGTTTTGTTTTTAAATTTTGCTGGATAAACAGCTTAAATGGCCTATTAAAACATCTAATTTACAAAACACCCTAAGGTCCTTTTGAAGTTCAAATTTTTCTGAGTCTAATATAGACCAAAAATAAAGTTCTAAAGGTGCTTAATTTTGGTTTACATAGCTTTGTTACTAATTTGCATTTACCCTCCAAATATAACTTCTTTTTTTTACACAAGACAATGGTTACTTGTACGAGAAGCAAAGCCTTGAACTTCATTTTCAGTTCATTCCCGAACTAATAAAAGCCAATGACCTTTGACATTTGAAATAATAAAACAATTTGTACTATACTGAACTCTCGCAGAAATAAATTCAGCAGTTTTTCATTTAATACAGACCCTCTCGAATCCGTTCCGTAGGAGGTTTGTCGAAATGTCCCCCAAAATGTGATTGTTTAGCCCAATTAACGTTCACTACCGACCAATAAAGACAAAGTTGCAAATGAAGTTTTCACGCAAAACAAATTATTTAACTTCATTTTAAAGTTCCACGAGTTTTCCACGAGAAGACCTTTGGTAAACAACCGCCCAAATTAATGTACAAGTTCTATAATTTCTTTTTTAACTATAATTTTATAATGTAAATTTTTAATTCAATAGGCTAAAAATTAAAATCTATGCCTCTTTGAAATTACCAAGTTAATTAAATCCTAGCTTCCATACAATTATCAACACCTTCAATAGAAAACTTTTTTTTTCCGAATTATAATACATAATATTTTAAAAAATCGTTAAAGTGTAAAACATTTTTGGGATAAGGGTTCCTTTTGTTCATAGAGGCGAAAAGATACCGGGTTTGGGTTGAGCTTGAATTTTATCTCGTAGCGTACATTGTAAAACTTCTTTATCTGAAAAGCGTACTTATGCTAAACCCGCAGAACACGCCAGTTGTGATGGTCTAGCAAACATTTTTTTTTAAATAAGGATAAAGTAGGTTTTTGTAAAATTTATTTATTGCTACATGTAAAAAAATTATACTTTAAAAAATATTACATGTACATAAAAACCTGATCGGTCAGCCCATGAGGAGGTGGAGAGAGGTGTGCAGGTATTGTTTGTTATTTAATTGTGACTAGGATAGGTCAGGCTAGGAGGTCACGAAGTCAAAGCAGTTTTAGACGTCTGAAGGATTTATAAAAGCTCTACCTTCCTCATAATTTGCAGTGGAAATGGTAGAAACTTGTTTCGATCAGATCCCTCGCGAGTGAGATGTAAGATCTTTGGATTTGTTGGATATTGAAGGATTTGGCCGAACCACACAGTTCGACTACCTAAGTTCAAATCGGTCGTTGATGTAAGCGGTTAGTTTAGAGATTTCCGTCCAAGTAAGTATATGGGTTGACTTTTGTTGTCTTCTTGGCTGTTTGGTCTAGTATATGGTTTCCATGTAAAGTTTGCTTTCTAAGGAGAGACTACGTTTTTCCAAGTCCAAAGGACCAGTTTCATTCTGAGCGAAAAAAGGTTGTAGTTTAATAACGAAATTGGGGAAGTGGATTTTGTCACAGAATATACATAAAATACGACAGTCTTCAAACAGGGCAAGGGTAGCCAGCAGGGCAAGGGTAGCCAGCGGTGCAAGTTTATCAAACGCGAGACACAGCAGAACACTTGATTCACAGCTTTTAACAAATTATTTAAACCACTTCTAAAGCTCGGAATCTGATTGGATTAGTTTCATTCTAAGCAAAAAGGGTTGTAGTATAATAATAAAAAACATTAGGGAGATTGTTTTTGACACATAATAATACGATAAACGAAAGTGTTCAAACAACGTAAAGCATGGAGAGTTGCAAGTTCATCGAGGCAAGATAGACCAGAAAACCTGATCTGCAACTTTCAAAAAAATATATGAACTACTTATTCTCAATAAATAATTAATTTTAACTCTCAGTTAATAGTTAAAAAATAAACAATTTCTTAATTTTTTAACCGTAGACTAAAGGTGTAAAAACATTTTGCACGTTTTTCCCCTTATACAAAAAAATTTATTTCTCTCTTCCTGTGTATTTTTTTACTCATGGTAACTATGGTTTGAATATGAGAGTCGTACATAAGGAAAAAAAATAGTTTCAACATAAAAATGGGTTTTAGAGAAAAGGGTATCAAAAGGTGAAAAAAGACAATATTTCCCGTTGACGTCCATTTCACTTCATAAAAACATTTCACGCCGATTCTTTTTGCAGTAGGCAGTTAAAAGACGATTTTATTCTGGTAGGAAGTAGAATATGCAAAAACGACGTGAGTAAGGGGTGGAGAGTTGTAAATCCATTAAGACAAGCTAGACCAGAGAACTTGTTTGGTACTTTCAAAAAAAAAAAAAAAGAAAAAAAGTATAGTCTCAACTTTCAAAAAATTATTTGCAACACTTCTAAAGTTCGGAAACTCATAGGACCGTTTCATTCTGTGCGAAAAGGGTTTTAGTTTAATAAGAAAAATTATGGAGGTGGGTTTTGCCAGAGAATATACATAAAAGACGATAGACTTCAGACAGCATAAAGGGATGGAGAGTTGCAAGTATAGTCTCAACTTTCAAAAAATTATTTGCAACACTTCTGAAGCTCGGAACCTCATAGAACCGGTTTCATTCTGTGCGGCAAGGTTTTTTTTAGTTTAATAAGAAAAATTGGGGAGGTGGGTTTTGCCAGAGAATATACATAAAATACGATAGACTTCAGACAGCATAAAGGGATGGGGAGTTGCAAGTATAGTCTCAACTTTCAAAAAATTATTTGCAACACTTCTGAAGCTCGGAACCTCATAGGACCGGTTTCATTCTGTGC